TTGGAATCTGACCATCAGTCATTCTCACGACATGCCCGAGCCAACGTAGATGTTGCTGTTTCAGTAATGTATACATGCTAAAAATTCCAGCTCGTTCTAGGACTGCTCTATTTGGAACTTTGTCCTGCCAGGTGATACCAAAAATGCGTCAGAGGCAACGCATATGGAAGGTGTTCAACTCTCCTGTCGTACACAAAGGGTCCAGGACTCACTGCAGTACAGTGGACCCTTGACTTACAGACGGCTTGACTTACAGACTTTTTGAGTTACAGACTTCTCTGGCCGCAAAATTTAGGTTTGACTTGCAGCCTGAGAATTGACTTGCAGACCAGAAAAAAACCAAAATGGAACAAAAATGGCCTGTTACGGGATTAATCGGTTTTCAATGCATTGTAGGTCAATGGAGACTTGACCTACAGACTTTTTGACTTGAGAACTGCCTTCCAATACAGATTAAGTTCTCAAGTCAAGACCCCACTGTACAGGAGTGTGCTCAGGAAGGCTCTATAGACCTGGATCTTGGTATATGTCATCAGCTTCTTATTAAGCCAAACTCTGAGTCTAGAGAGCATGGTAGCTGCTTTGCCAATGCGTTCATCCAGCTTTATAATGAGTAAAGAGGCTCCACAATACCTAGCTTATGGATACATGTGTCAGACTTTACTGTCAGAGCACCAGATAAGGCCCTAGCTAGCTGAGAGGTGGAGTGGAGAGGAACTCAGTGCTCCTCTTTCTAGCCATTCTGGCATTAGCTGCCCTAGGTACATTCTGCTACATCCATGCTTGAAAATTAGATGCCTAATATTTTCAACAGAGAGAGCTTGGAACCATATATTATTTTAGTTTGTGTGGGGTGGATTCACAGGCTGCTGAAAGAGAGTAGGTTCTTTTTCAACCATCCACTCAGATTCTCTCAATCTTCCTTTGAAATTTCAGTTTCTTCATGCTCAGTGTTCACAGTTCATTCATGGGATATGGCTTGGTGTTCATGAAGTTTGTTTCCGAAATGAACTTTGGAGCTCCCATTTTTGTTTGTTGTTAACAAGAATTTCTGAGCTTTATGTGAATTGTTGGTGCCTTCTCCTCTGCTGCATCTTCTCTTCTCTGAACATATCTCCCATGTCAACAGAGCCATTCATGCAGTGTTGGCTGCTCAGTACATCTACCTTAAAATCTTTGCAAGTCCTACTCTGATCTCAGTAGTGACAAAGGAAAACACACTGAAATTACCTAGGAAATGTCCGTTCAGATACTGAATTGTGTCATAGAGCATTGGTCCCTAACCTTTTCGGAACCGCGGACTGGTTGGGGGTGTGTGTGTCTGTGTGTGTGTGGACCCCTGCACTCACAGGCAGGTGTGGCATGCTCACAGGTGGGTGTGGCATGCTCACGCACATGTGTGGGTGAGCGGGGCACACTCATGGATGGGAGTGGTGCTCGTAGGTCAGTGGGGCATGCACGTGCATGCCCCACCCATCCGTGAATGCGCCCACCCACCCGTACATGTGTGTGAGCGCGCCATGCCCACCATGCAGGAGGGCGGGAGATCCGTCTCCACCGCCTGTTCCTGCAAAGCCCACGAACTGGCACTGGGGGTTGCCCCCCCCGTCATAGAGGACTTTTTTTGACCACAGACCATACCTACCACCCTGTCTTTTTTCCTTACCTAACTATTCCATAACATTCCAAAAGCTATACCAAGTATATTAAGCAGACATGAAGAATTAATGTTGCATGTAGAATTTCAGTTTTCCTTGAGTAGGTGTGTAGTTTGGCAGATGGTACAGGAACAAATCAACTCATTGATATTACAGTTCCTTTGTTTGTATAAAAAACTATTCATCCTGACAAATTATTTCTGTTTATTTCTTGCATCTAGCGTTGTTAGGAGTGAAGCGCTATGGTGCCCATCTAAATGGCTATATTTGGCAAAATGGTCAGATGTATATGTGGCTGGCTCGAATAGCTTCGAACAAACCCACGTACCCTGGCTTACTGGATAACCTGGTAGGTGCAGGACAGAAAGGATGATTCCTCCTCCTTTTGTTTGAAGATGAAGACTACCTAAAAATAATCAGAATCCTTCCAACAAGGGCATGCTCAGGGAGAATACAGAACTGACTGGATTTCAACATGCCCTTTAGTACAGACATTATTTCAGCAAGCCCCTGCTTGCCTGCTTTTGCAGCCATTGTCCAATTTGTTTCTGTATCCGAGGCTGCAGCAGCAACCTCCCCTTTTCTTGCCTTTAAAACTATGTGCATGGGGAATGGATACCATGTTTTTAAGTCAGAGTGCAATTCAGTTTAAAAGCACTCCCTGCATGCCTCCGTAAAGGTGGTACTTTTTTATCATTATGGTAATTAAGTAATAAGCAAAAGTGAGGTGAAGCCCTTTGTGGATAGGTGAGGGGCACAGCATGGCTTCCTTGTTACAGGAAGGTGATCACCCCTGCACTGAAGTGAAAATAAAGGTGGGGAGCACACACTCCCTTTTTGTCGATTTGGGACTGTTTGTTTGCTAGGAAAGCAAAAGGTATGAACTAGCCAGATGATCTAGAGATAATGGTGGGAGACTACTCATGTGGCAATCTACTTCCATAGCTCAGTGTTTCCACTGTCCTCTCCCATCAGGCTGCTGGCGGCATTGCAACAGGACTGGGTGTCACAGAGACACTAATAAAGGAGTGCCAAGAAGAGGCTTGCATCCCTCCCTCCCTCGCCGTGCAGGCCAAACCTGTTGGAACCATCAGGTAACAAACCTACCCCAACCCATGAAAATTCAGCACATTCCCCCCACTATGTCAAATAAGAGAATGAAGCCATTAAAAAACTCTAGGAGATATTTGTAAAAAGCTATCTCTGTAATTACAAATTTATTGTAGACCCCAACATGAAAAATCTGTGCTTTTTGAGAATCTCTGCCATTTTTGAAAAGTTTTTAAGTGACAGAGAAGCTGATCTAGTTTTTGAGCTGCAAAGGGCTCCAGAGTGAAACTTCAGGGAATTAGGCTACTTTTTGACTGGCCTCAAGGCAGTATTTTCCTATGGTGGTAGCCTTCCAAATGCCAGCAACTATTCACTGCTAACTCTCCTGTGCCTTTCACAAGCAAATCCTAATTCATTTAGAAGCGGAATCATGAAAGCTAATCCATCAGTGAAGGGTATGTTTCTACTGTGATTGTCTCGATGTAGCACAACCCTTGAATGGGACTGTGAGGTCAAACATTCACATGTGCACAGTTGCTAAATGTGATTTGCCAATCAGGGAGCAGTGGCAAATTTATGACAAAACCATGTTTATTGATGTCCTGAAGAGAAGGCACTTTTGCTTGGTAATTTAGATTGCTTATCCCCAAATGAGTGAACTCAACCATCCCTGCTGCTTGTTGTCAGTCTGCCCCTCCACAGAAGCCATCGATACTACTGAGCTACCTCCCCTTACCTTCTCCCACCTCAGCTACACCTATGAGGGGGCACATGGAGGCATCTACCCTGAATGCCAGTTTGTCTTTGACCTGGAGCTGCCTGAAGATTTTGTGCCCCAAGTGGGAGATGGAGAGGTGCAGGAGTTCTACCTTTGGCCCCTTGAAAAGGTTGGTATCATTTGACTTCATCAGAGAAGTGGCCCTGTTTGTGTATCTGAAAGGGATACTTCAGAGAGCCACAGTGATCACAACAAACAACTTTCCCTTCCCGAGTTAGCCATGTTAATTAAGTCAGCCGCAGAAGCTGCGTAATGGAGCTCCAGTTTCCAAAAGGCTGGAGAGTGCAGCACGCAGAGCCCTATGGTATCTCAAAGACCATCCACTGTATATATTCAACAAATTATTTATCTAATAAAGCTGGCCACAGAAGCTAATTCCATAATTAATTTATTAGTCTTTAAGATACCACAATATTATTTCTATTATTTTGGGAGGGGAAGGTTTTTGTTCTTACGGCAGTTTGAGGACTATGACAAGCAGAGTGGTAGTTATTGTGCAGATTCTAGTTCTCCTCTAAACTAGTCATACTCAACTCTTTTTTGGCCATGGTCCTTTTAGGCTCCAGGGCCCTTTGTGAAGCAAGGAAAGCCTTGGATTGTGTGCAAACAAGGATATAACACAGACAGATGAATCTGTGGCCCCCTTCAAATGGGCTGGGGCCCTGTGGCCAATGGCTGCCTAAACCACTAGCCAGGCTACAGATGATTTCAGCTCTCACCAGAGTGGCCTGAGGCCAAGAATCCTGGTGGTTATAGTCTAAAGAACACCAGGTCAGGGAAGGGTCTTCTACAAACTTATGTGAGCTACAGCTGTCCCTCTTGTGCAGGTGAAAGAGGCCATTGGATCTTCAGATTTTAAGCCCAACTGTGCAATGGTGGCACTGGATTTCCTTATCAGGCACGGTTATATACAACCTGATGAAGGTAAGCAAAGCAGAACCCCCACCCCCAAAACGATTTCTTCTGTGGTAAAATGGGGGGGGGAATACAGATTGGGTAGGAGGAGGCAAACAGGGCTGGACGTGTATGTGAAAAGACGTGGACTGATACCATAAACACAGAGTAACCTGAATATTCTGCTCATCCCACTTTCATTTCAGAACCTCATTATGTAGAGCTGGTGGAAGGGCTACACCGAACACTTTAAAAGCACTGGCTGTTTTGTTGACACCAAGCTCTGTGGTTTTGGCCAGGCCAGGCCTTTCTCAAGATGGACACTACAGATGGGTGCCAAAAGGAGAGACTGTGACAGAATCTGCTTTGACTCAACAGGAAAGTGGCTGCCTGTTTTAAGCCAGTCCTCCATGGAGGGTTGTAGCTTAAGGGATTACTCATGGTATGCCAAGTGAGAGTGCTTCTGTACCATATTTACACACAGGGACACAAGCACACCATAGAGTGTGCTGCCAGTGACCTTAACCATAAAAATAAATAAATCTCTCATCTGTTTTAACATTTAATTAAAAAAAAGTCAACCAAAGGAACACTGTGTGAAAGTAGGGCTGTGGGGTTGAGGGAGACAGTCAGCAGCAAATACTGTACAGGCGTGCGCTCCTCACAGAGCTTTCGCTTTCAGTCTGACTCATTGAAACGTGTTAGCATTGTCTTGTGCAATGCCTCACGGTAGGACTCTGATGCTACCGCCCCATAAGAGCTGCCGCGGGCACCCAGGCCAGATCCACGTACTCGTGTTGGCGCCTATAAAAGAGCAAAAAGATACAGCCAGCATTGCAGAAAAACAAACACTCCTATATATAGGAAGAGGAACCTAAAACACTTTACATCCTGGATTTTTGTCCATCCTGTCTTTTCATTCCCTACTGGCATCACAACCACATCCCATTTCTCCTTCCTGTGAAGGAACCCATTCCTCCTCCCCTGAAACATAATCCAAAACTGTACCACTGCTCCAGTTTCTCCAAATCCCAACTATGTATTTTCCATTTTTTTCACTTTGTGTCTACAGTGTTATATCACCAAGGCCTCCTGCCAAGTTAAAAGCTCAAGTACTTCCCCCCACTCTGGAAAAGCATTTACATAAGGGGAATCAAAGAGGGGAAGTATCCCTCAAAAACACGAAGATATTTACAGTAATTTTAAAGTTATTCTCGTACCTCAATGGGGGCAATGATACCCTGCTTTTTGCGGCCCAGCCCGCTGCCTTCTTTCCAGCCCATAGCCTGCAGCATGCGGCTGCCAATGTTGTCGCTGCCAAGTCCATCCCGTGTTGGTTGTTCAAAATCCCTGTTGCAAAACAAGGGTAGAGACAGAATGAAGGAGAGAATTATGACAATTCTGCAGTCTCTTCTTTCCAATGGATACCAAAGCAAACTAAACTGCACTGAGGGTAAAGGATGAGGTTCTAATACCCTGTTTCCCTGAAAATAAGACCTAGTATGATTTTTCAGGATGCTCATAATATAAGACCTACCCCCAAAATAAGCCCCAACTAAGCAAAAGTCCACCCTCCACCATTGTGCAGCAACCAGAAGATGCCATGACTGCATTTGAATAAACATTCCCTGAAAATAAGCCCTAATGCGTTTTTCGGAGCAAAAATTAATATAAGACCCTATCTTATTTTCAGGGAAACACGGTATGATGGAGATTATTCCTTGTTTGTTGAGGAAAGCAGCCATCTTGAGAAGTAGGATATTTATCTCACACTTAATGAACATCAACACAAGACACATCCTGCAAGGAGTATGGGTCTTACACAGTGGCTGGGGAGACTGCTGAATACTTCCTTTTCTTGGGTTCTGGTGGCTCAGGGACACCATACTTCTCCCTTCGTTCAGCTGCACGATCTCGGTACTTCATCTGTTGACAGTCATGGAGAGGAAACTGTTAGGGAAGAGGAACTAATCCCTATGACATTCCCACCAGAGAGGCCACCTGTTACTTTTCCCATACCTCCATGTCATTTTTCTCAAGTGCTTCAAGTTCCTGCTCCGATAAGTGTGCCCGTCGATGAATTTCCAAATTTTGCTGCACAGGGGAGTGAGAACAAAGTTAAGATTAAAGTCCAAATCCTTGGAGGATTCTGCATCAATTGATCTTCAACACTGGAGGATCCTGCACATACACTTATTTCTATATTAGATTTCATTAATTATATCTCATTGTCCTGTTTAATTTCAAAAGCACTTAGGGCATCTCAAAGTAAAATAATTTGCATAAGTTTTGAGGAAGCATATGGCAGATAGAAGTACAGAAATAAATATCTACTATTGTCAATACCTGAATACCTTTAAAGAGGAAGCTAAGCAAGTTCCCATAGCAGAGAATTCAACATCCTAAGCACCACTCCAGGAAATGCTTTTTCTCTGCACCCCACATCTGACTGAAACCCGCAAAAGGATCACCACTCTTCCCTGAAAAATCTGAACAGATGACCAGATTGGCCTGGGTTGAAGTTGTCTGGGGCTCTAACGTTGATACCAGCACTTTAAACTGAGCCTGGTAATACTTCAAAAAGTAGCCAAAGCTCATAGAACAATTGCATCACCTCTTCCCAAACACCCACACCAGTCACAAAGCCTGACCGCAGCACTTTCACTGCCACAGAGAACCTCTTGCCAAATGGTGAATTGAAGATAGCATTTGTGTGTCTGAATAAAAACTGATGAGACATTTTGCCTGATGTAGGCAACAGCTGGGTACAGTGGGAATTACTTAGTAATAAAACATATGTGGTGCTGGAGGAGACTCTTGAGAGGCCCCTGGACTGCAAGGAGATCAAACCTATCCATTCTGAAGGAACTCAACCCTGAGTGCTCACTGGAAGGACAGATCCTGAAGCTGAGGCTCCAATACTTTGGCCATCACATGAGAAGAGAAGACTCCTTGGAAAAGACCTTGATGTTAGGAAAGAGTGAAGGCAAGAGGAGAAGGGGATGACAGAGGACGAGATGGCTGGAAAGTGACATCAAAGCAACCAACATGAATTTGACCGAACTCCAGGAGGCATTGGAAGACAGGAGGGCCTGGCATGCTCTGGTTTATGGGGTCACAAAGAGTCGGACGACTTAATGACTAAACAACAAAAAACACATTCTATGCTTGGCCATTTCTGGATACAGGATATGGCTTTTAAATGAATATGAAGCGCAGCCTTCCTAAGCTCTTGCCCATCAATTTCAGGCAGATAATGAAGAATTACATGGGAGTTTCATTGACACTTGGAGCCATCAGCCACAGTGTCAAGCAGAATTCCACCTCAGTGTCATCTTTCAAGCCTGCCTTCAAAGAAATAGAACTATTGCACCAACATCCCGTGCCTGCCAAATAATCTAGAAGAATATTACGATTGATGGGTTCAAAGGCCAGTGAGATCTATTGGCTGCATACCTTGTGTAATCCTGAAAGCTGCTGGTGACGAATAAGGGCTTCCTTGCTGGGAAATTGTCTACGACAAAGCAGACAGGCCAGTTTGTGCCAATCAGTCAGTTTCTCTTCCCGATCAGCAGTCTTTTCCTGCTCCTCCTCACTGTCGCTCTCACCACTGTAAGCAGCCACTAACCCTCGTGGCGGACTCTGCAAGATAGGAAAGTCACAAACCCACATCTTACACCTGGAATCAGATACTGAAGGGACCAGCAAACCATCTACCACTGCTTAGTAGTTCTTTCCCCCAGCCCCAATCAACTGATGCAACTCAGACTACTATGTGCTAATGACAGAGAACAGATGGATTCTGAGAACTCATTTATAATGTTCCTATGGCTCAAGACTTTGCATCATCCCCCTCCTGCTCAACATATACTTATTCTCAGTTCTTAAAAGAATACAAGATTATGTCTCCTAGAACCCCTGCATCCACACCCACTGCTGTGCATCACAAGTGGAACCCTAGGACACCCAAGATGAAGAGAAACAAGGAAGGAGGGGCTTACCAGCCTATCATCGCCAGCAAGCTTGGATAGGTCCATGCCACCATGCTGCCTCTCCGCCAAAGCCCCCTGAGAACACATACATATAAGGGCAGTTTTGTAAGAGGAACAAGAAATTCTCAAACCATTTCCTTCCTATTTAGCAAACACAGACATTCTATCAAGATGCCTGAAGAGAACAATATAATGTGGGGAAGAGATTACAGGGGTGGTTCACATATTGCCTTGGCCCATCAGTATACCATATTTGCCGGTGTACAAAACAACTTTCTGGCTCTGAAAAACATGCCTCCAAGTGAGGCGGGGGTCTTGTACGCCGGGTGCATGTCCAGCAAACCCTCCCTCTCTCAGCGAAGTCACTCACCTGGTAGTAAGACCGAGTAGAGCCCTGCTCCTAGCCTGCGAACAGCCTGACTCTAGCACCAAACAGCTGACTGTCGGGAACAGCAGAGAGGAGGCACCCATTTTGAGATGTGACCACATGGCTGCTGCCTCTCAAAATGGCTGCCGCCTCTCTGCTGTTCCTTCTTCCAGCAAACCATGGCTCTCTCCGAAAAGGAACCAAAAGGGGCAAAAGGAACTCTTCCCCATGATGCAGCCAAAGCAGAATCACGCATGCGGAAGAGGGGGTAGTCTTATACAGCAAGTATATAACAAACTCTACATTCTGAGTGGGAATGTTGGGGGGTGGTCTTATACGCCCAGTCGCCTTATACACCGGCAAATACGGTAAGTAAAAAACAACACGTGTATGTCGAGGCCACATACATCCCTTCCTTTCCAGGCAGTTGCCTTCTTTAAGGAGGCCCATGTTGCTCCTTGAACAGGGGTTCCCAGCAAGAAATCTCACATTAACAAAAGAAGAAACAGGACTCAAGGATGCAGATCTGAGCACTAACAGATTCAGATTCTGGCATAGCAGCAGGCCACAGACTTATGTTACCAAAACTGAAGAATCTCCCTTCAAGTTTCCAGACCAACTGTTTTGTGTAAAATGACAAAAATTGCCACAGGCGGTAATCTACTTTCAGTCTGATTCTGATAAAGGACTGGGAGATACCTTCTTCTCAAGGATGGCATAGCCAGCATCAGCTGTGGCTGATTCCCGCCTTTCATCCTCTCGTATGGAAGAGACTGGCTGAAAGCTGTTCTTAAAATTCTCCTTCTGTTTGTTGAGGCTACGAGCCCAGCGCTCCATGTCTTTAGCAATCTGTGGATGACAGCCAACAAAAGAAAGGATGTGGCAGCATGCCAGAGAGTAACAGGATCAACGCAATAGTTTTGGCCCACACTGAGAAGGTGCACTAGCCCACAAAGTCTTGTGCTTTTATTTGAATACCATTCTAATTTATAATTTTCTCCCTACCTCTATAGTAGGGATAGGAAACAGAGTGCACCCTCCAAATGCCAATGAACTGCATTTCCATGCCTCACCTCTGTCCTGGCTAGGGCTCTCTGGCGATATAATTCAGCAACATTGAAAGATTGAGGGAAAGAGAGAGAGGAATGCCTAAACAGACAAGCTACCCCTTCAGAGAAATCCAAGACAGCAGTGCAATTACCTAATATCTAACTGAAGCTTTAGAATAACCAAAAGTAGTCTTCAAGCACTAGCAAGTAGGAGGAAGTGGGCAAATGCATCGAACACACAACACAAAAAAGGGTAGATGGAAGTGGCATAAGCAAGAGGGTGTTTCTTACCTGCTGGGCAGTTTTTGTTTTATGCTTCTCCTTCTTCTCTTTGCCCTCTTTGCCACTACCACCCCCTGAACTGCTGCCATCCTTGTGGCTGTCAGAGGCCTGGTCTGAGGCTGGAACATAGGTGCGCCTCTCCCCATCCCAGTACAGGTACTGCTGTGTCTGGGCATTGTAGTAATACTGCAAAGAGAAAATTCTCACTGAATCACTGTACCTTGTGTTAAGGCAATATACCACCAAAAGTAAAAGGCTGGATCTTCCTCTTGTTGACGTCCAGGAATTTCAGTGTCTGCTAAGAAGAAGAAATGAGCTTTCTGCTAGCTACTCTCATCTCTTTCTCAAGCCCACGGTGCTTGTCTTTGACCAAATTCAATTCAATTCAATTCTCAAGCTCAGAAAGGACCAATGCCTGCCTAAAGAAAACAGGCTCAACTCACCTGGGAATTGGGGTCATAGTAGAGGCCAGTCAGAGGGTCATAGTAGTAACCAGAGCTTTCATCATATTGATATGTAGAAACATCTGGGACAGCTAGAAATGGGCAGAGAGAGCAAACCAAGTAATAGCACCTCAGCCTTTTGCTGTTCCCCAGACCTAAGAGTAAGTGATTCCCTGTCTCCAGTAGAGTCTAAACATACACCCACCGCATCCTCCCACTTTTCCCTTTAATACCACCCCAGATATAAGCACTCACGGTATTGTGTGTAAGGTTCCTGCCCTACAGTACTTGCAACGGGCAGATTGGAAGTGCTGCTGGATACACCCGGAGTTGTACTGGAGGACTGAGCACTACTAGGCACATCAGGTTTCAGCACAGCAGGTGAGACTATGGTATATGACTGCAAACACAGAAGCTCTAATGGGTCAGTGGGTAGAGAGAGAGCATACATCGTGTTCTAGCCCCATACTAATAACCATCCCAGGCATACCTGTGCACTAGCAGCATTTCCCTGGGTAGAACCTGTCCCTTCACTGTTGCCAGCTGCCTGGTATGTGACGGGTACAGTTGTGGTCTGGGCACCGCGGGGAAAAGCTGGTAGGACAGGCACAGGATCTACACCTGGTACTCCAGGTTCCAGTGATGCCTCAGTGCCTTTGTGGAGGCAAGAAAACAGAGCACAGTCAGTCAAGAGGCAGGGGGAAAACTGCAGATAAGGTGGAAAGAGGCAGCTAGTGTAGCTTACCTGATAATGAGCCCTCACCGTGGACCTTGTCCACCTTTCCAGCGGCTGCTGCCCCAGACTGTGACTGGGAGCTTTTCAAATATGCTTGCGAGTATGCTGCACTTTCCAAACCTTGAGCACCGTATGCTTCTTCCTGCTGGTAGTAGCCATAGTCCACAGATTGCTCATCTTGAGCTGTCCAGGCTGCCTCGCCACCCTGGGATGCCTATTGAAAAAATAATGCAAGAAGTATTCTCGAAGGCTTTCACGGCTGGAATCCGATGGTGGTTGGGCTGTTTGGCCATGTTCTGGAGGTTTTTCTTTCTAACATTTTGCCAGTCTCTGTGGCCAGCATCTTCAGAGGACAAGAGTTACAACTCTGTCTGTGTTCTGCAAGCTTTTCATTCTGCAAGAAGCTTTTTGTTACTAAGATACTAGTTCTTTATTTTTCTCCCTCTGATAGGAAAAAGGCCCGAACTACCACAATGAGATTTCAAACCCACCCCAATGGTTTTTAGAATATTCTTCTATACATCATGTCTTTAAATTTTACCCTGTTTTGGGAGCTCTAAAGTACAAAGGTTTTCCCAACTTGTATTACATGAAAAACCATGAATTAAATAACTAGTGACAGTGACCTCGATCCAGAGATCTCACTGCACAATAAAATATTTTTGACTGCAAATACAGTAATGCCTGAATGAATGTGCTAATCTTCTCAATGCCAACTCCACCTCCAAATTGGCTCCAGCAAGCCAGAGAATCAACCAGAGTATATCTGAAAGGAGGGGACACGGCAAGAAAGTCACACAAGCAAGCAAGGGAGGGAGGTTCAGATATCTTTCAATCTAAGCCAGGAACACCAATATAAGCCTCAACAATGAAAATTCTTGTACAACCATCACACTTCTCACAAGGAAAGGGAATTTTAAAAGTGCTATTGAGCATGTTTCATCACACGCCTTCTTTTCCAGAACTAAGTGCAATAGCCCCTTGACATTTAGTCCAGTCGCATCCGACTCTGGGGGCAGTGCTCATTCCCGTTTCCAAGCCGTAGAGCCAGCGTTTGTCCGAAGACAGTTTTCATGGTCACGGGCCAGAGTGAATTAGACACAGAACATCATTACCTTCCCACCGAGGTGGTATCTATTTATCTACTTGCATTTGCATGCTTTCGAACTGCTAGGTTGGTAGGAACTGAGACAAGTGACGGGAGCTCACTCTGTTGTGTAGATTTGATCTTACGACTGCTGGTCTTCTAACCTTGCAGCACAGAGGCTTCTGCGGTTTAATCCGCAGTGCCACCACGTCCCAATAGCCGCCTTGGGTCTATTTTAAGAAGAAAGGCAGGCTAAAAATATTTTCAAATATTTTCAATATTTTTACTCAGCAAATAAAAAAAAAGGTAAGGATGAGAAAAATGTTCCTTAGGAAGCTTCTCAAGAGTTGGCAGCATGTACACTCAACAGGAAAGGAATAAAGTACCTGCCATAATTACTCTGGTGTAAAGAACATTCCCATGGTGGGTTATGTGCAAGTAGAAGACCCATACTTGTGATTGACAGAAACCACAAAGAAGGTGGAATGATCTGCTGGCTACAAGAGCAAAAGAACTTTGAGGGGACATTTATGTACGTATCTTATGTTTTGCAGTCCCAGCCCAATAATTTTTGAAAGAAATGCCTTTAGGTCTCTTTTCACAATCAAATCTAGAAAAGCAATACTTTCAGAAAAATATCCCAATTTTCTTTTAAAATAAAATGTCATAGCAACTCACAAAAAGACTCAAATAAGAATAAAGACAACCACATCAGCCAAAAACAGATGAAACAGTTCATCTGCACAAAAACAGATCATCCACCAAGCAGTGGAAAAAACAACCTTGCCACTCTTCTACCAAAATGTAGATAGATGCATAAAGTCACATCTGGATGAGACAATGAAATGAGCCTTAATGACTAGGCTAGGTCAAGCTTCCCTAGCTCAAGTGCTACAACTAAAAAAGGGCCTAGCCACTGTATTGCTCACCGCACCACACAGGAAGGCAGAGGTATACCTCTGGGATTGACTGGGGAGAAGACAGCCTGTAAGGAGCACAAATCTGATGCTATCTAAGATTAGAAACCAGCAAAGCTAGCAACTCGAACTGAACTCAGAAACAAATTGCCTATGATAATAGAACTGAAGAAATGAGTTCCAGACAGATGCCACCTAACAAACTGGCAGCAGCATTCTGGATGACCTGAATTTTAAAAATGACAACCCTAAGTACAGCATTGGGGGTGGGGGGGGAAGTCCAATTAAATACTACTAGCACATAAATTACTATGGCCAGGCAACCACTCCTGATATGTGGGCGAAATGTGTTTCCTGCAGTCTACAATTAGTTATGCCTAAATTAGCACAGCAGTATTGTTTTGCAACAGTGGTACATCTGGTTCTTTTCTTTAAACCAGAAAACTACTGTTATGCTTTTTGATTATGACACAGATCAAAGAGAAGTTGAGGCAATACATAGGCGCATACATGTATATATATAAGGTATTTCTTTGTGCTTTGCAATAGCACAACACATACACACACAAAAGGGTGTGTGGGTGTGTACACCCCCACCCCCACCCCACCAAAGCTATGGATAAGAGAGCAAACGAACAGGACTACTAGCTTATGGGATTAAGATAAAGCCAACCCTTCTCCAGGAACACCATTTATTGTTCTCCCAGCCACCACATTACCTGTGAGATAGCCCACTGTGCAGCTGCAATGGCCGTGCTGGCAACAGAAGCAGCACTGATACGGTTTCCGTCTGATGAACTCATGTCCCTGCAAAGAGATACAGGAGTCACCTGAGAAGTCTCCTGAAGCAGCAGGAAGTCCAATTTTGGACAAAGTACTTGTCTACTCACCGCTTGGAACCTTTGGCAAATTCCACATTAATTGTTTTGCCATCGATGTTCAGGGGTGGATGCAGGGCTTGAAGGATCTGCAACAACTGAGCTGCTTCCTGGGTTATGGAAAGTAAGAGAAACAACACGATTACTCTTAAAAAAATTTTTAAAATCATCCTTCAACACAGGGGTCATAATCATAAGCCCCTCAGAATGGCTTTTCTTCATGCAGCTCCTTTCTTCCCCAGGCCACCATTCTTTCAAAATGGAGAATTTCTTTTTTTTCTAACAGAAGATTTAAAAACATGGATATATAGCACAATGCGCATTTAAACAGTAAACATAAAGTGTAAGAAGCTCTAATAGTTAAACAATAAACAAAGATAATCTAAATGCAAAAAAGAAAAAAAGCCTAAGGCTCAACATAGAAGCAATCTTGTATATTCGAACAATTCTTCTGATGAGATCCTATTCATGACATCCCATCTTATATTCATTTTCTGTTCCTTTACTGTGGGATTTTTACTTTCCACCATTATAAAATAAATTCCAGCTTAAATAAAATGATGATTCTTCTTGTCCCTTTAGCCTCTTAGTCACGGTAATCTATCCATTTCTGCACTTTCTAATATATTTTTTTTATGATCATATCATCATTTGGTGGATTTTCATCTTTCCAAACCTGTGCCCATATTAACCTAGCTGCTGTCAAAACATGAAGTATTAAATAATAGCTTTGTATATTTACAGTATTTGGTAGTAATCCTAACAAAAATATTTCCGGTTTAAATTCTATTTCCTGCTTTGACATTTGCTTAATCCACATGTGGATTTTAGCCCAATAATCTTTTGCTCTATCACAAGTCCACCATACAGTACATGGTAATAACTTCCTTCATGATTTCTACATTTTCAACACTTGTTTGACATATTTGGAAACACTTTTGCAATACTAGCTGGTGACAAATGGCATCTATAAAACATTTGATATATGTTTTCGTTGTAGGAAGTTGCTAATGTTAACTTATAATTTTTTTGCCCAAAGTTGTTACCATTTTTCTAATTCTATATTAAAGCCAAAGTTTTAGACCATTTTAACATTGTATCTTTAACTTCTTCATCTTCTGTATCCCACTGCAGCTAAGGTGGTACAGTATTCTGTCGCTTTGTGATTTCATATATAATTAAAAGAATTAAAAAGAGAAAACAAGTATACAAAAACATGAAAGAAGAACATAAAAGACTGGAATTAGAACTTCAAAATAATCGTAATAACAAAGTAGTGAAAAAAGAAATGGACTTGTGAAACATAAATTGAACCTTATGGATACAGAACAAATGGCACAACAGATAAAAGCTACAAAACAAAAAAAATTGGAAATGCAAACAAGCCAGAAAGATGGCTAGCTTATAAACTAAAGAAACACAGAGAGAAAAAAGACAAATAAATAGATTAACAGATATAAACGGTACTTTACGAACTCAAAAAAGTCAAATACATAGTATAATAATGGACTTTTATACCAACCTCTATAAAGCACAAGCAACAGACAGGAAGAAGATAAAGGACTATTTGGAAAAAAGCAAACCTTCCCAAACTACCTGAAGAAGCTAAAAAGACAATAAATGCAGAGATAACATTGCTGGAAATTATGGGAAGTATAAATAAACAAATAAATGAGAAAACCCCAGGCCCAGATGGACTCCCCGTCGAATATTACAAAACATTTTGAGAGGAATTAGCGGGACCTCTGAAAAATGTTTGCAACCATTAACACTTAAAGAAGCAAAGAGTCCAAAATCTTGGTCAGAGGCAAATATTACACTAATACCTAAGGAAGAAGCTGATTTGACTCAAATAGGGAACTATAGGCCGATTTCTCTTCTTAATGTGGATTACAAAATGGAGAATTTCAAAAGCAGTCTGTGATACAGCAAGATGGGCAGGCTTTCAAAGAAATATTGTGTGTCTGCATGAAAAGTCCACTACCATGAGCCTGAAACAGCACTTTAAATACCAGTTAATGAACTGAAACCTTTTCCATTCAAAAGAATTAACGACTTGGGGTGTGATCTTACTCTGAAGTACTGTAAGTATGACACAACAGGTTCTTTGTTGTTATGTGTCACCAAATCGCCTCCTACTTTTGGTGACCCCATGAATGAGATCTCCACAATGTCCTGTCCTCAACAGCCCTGTTCAACTCTTTTAAACTCAAGCCAGTGGGAGTCAAACCTTCTCATAATTGGTCTTCCACTTCTACTGCTGCATTCAACCTTTCCCAGCATTATTGTCTTTTTTGGAGAATCTTGTCTTCTCATGATGTGCCCCAAAACACTCCTCAGTTTCATCATTTTTGCCTCCAGATATATAGTTCAGGTTTGATTTGATCTAGGATCCACTTGTTCTGGCAGTCCAGGATATCCATAAAGCTCTCCTCCAGCACCACATTGAAAATTAATCAATTTTTTACCTGTCAATTTTCTTTACTGTTCTGCTTTAACACCATATATGATGACTGAAAATACAAAGTGTGGATGATCTTGGTCTTCAGTGACACATCCTTACAACTTGATGATCTTTTCTAATTCCTTCATCGCTGCCTTTCCTGGTCTAAGTCCTCTTCTGATTTCTTGTCTGCATTCTCCATCTCGATTGATGATTAAACCAAGGTATACAAAATCTCCAACTCTTTCAATTCATTGATATTAACGTTGTGTAGTTCTTCAGTAGACAAGATTTTTGTCTTCTTAAAGTTCAACTGTAGTCCTCCGGCACTTTCTTCTTTCACTTTCACTAAACATTGTTTCAAGTCATTACTGCTTCCTGCCAGTAGGATGGTGGCATCTGAAATCTTAAACAGTTGATTTTTCTACCACCAATTTGCACTCTTCCTTCATCTGTATAGTGCAACTTTCTGTATTATATGTTCTGTATACAGATTGAACAGATAAAGGGGATAAAATGCACCCTTCTTTCTCTAGAAAACCACACAGTCTCTCCATATTCTGTTCCAACAATAGCTTCTTGTCCACAATTATAGGTTACAAATCAGGACAAAAGCGCTGAGGTGCACCTATTTCTTTCAGAACAACCCATAGTTTCTCATGGTCCATACAGTCAAAGACTTTGTTGTAGTTTGCAAAGCACAGACTGATCTCAAATTCTTTGGTGCCCTCCAGTAGCCAGTGGACATTTGCAGTATGATCTTGAGTGTCTCTTCCTTTTCAGAATCCAGCTTGAACGTCAGGCACTTCTCATGCCATTTAAAGTAAAAGCCCTAGTTGAAGCACTTTGAGAATCACTTTGCTTTCATAGGAAATAAGAGCAATGGTCCTATAGTTACCAGAGTCCTCGCCATCTCCTTTCTTGGAAACTGGAATATATATTGAACATTGCCAATCTGTGAGCCACTGCTTTGTTTTTCTTATTTGTTGGCATATTCTTGTTAGGATTTTGACAGATTCAGTCTCTGTGGCTTGAAATAGTTCTATTAGTATGCTCTGGTGATTTATTTTTTTCTAGTGCTTTCAGAGCAGCTTTCATTTCATTTTCTAGAACTGCAGGTTCGTCATCATAGGATTCCTCTTCAAAGGAGTCTATTGTCCATTTATCTCTTCTGTACAGGCCTTCAGTATACTGTTTCCAAATTCTCTTTACTTGACCAGATAGTGTGCTTCCTTGATGGTCTTTCAGCTTTCCCCTTTAATTTCTTGAATCTTATGGAACAGATGTCTTGTTTTTCTCCTTCTGTTGTTCTCCATTACAGTGGTGCCTCACACAACGATGTTAATTGGTTCCAAAAAAATCAACGTTGTGTGAAACATCGTTCTGTGAAACACCATTTCACATACGAATGCATTGAAAACCGGTTAATCCGTTCCAATTGGAACGGATTGCCATCGTTCAGTGAAAATCCCCATAGGAAACATCGTTGAGTGAAACAATGTTTCCTATATTGGAATGTATTGAAGCCAACTCAATACATTTCAATGCCTTTGCGAAGTCCTTTTTCGCTCCTGTAAAAGTGTCTTACAATGTTTGGACGCTGTTTTAAATGA